AGCAAGCAGACCCTATTGTCTGTCCCACTGTAGGTGGGGCTCACTCCCTGCTGTTAAGGACAGTGGATTGCTTTCCTTGAAGGGCTCAGAATAAATCAAGTTTCCAGCTCAAGGACAATCAAGTTAGGCTGTCATCATGAATCTAGGATCCACCGATCTTGCCATATGTATACCCTTAATCCCTCCTCTTCCTATAGCATGTATACCCCAGATCATCCCCCTCTCATTACTGTATTGCCTATAGTACAACCCCTTCCTGTGACGTATGTCTTTACCTGTAATTAGGGGGCTTGCACAAAAGATACATAAGCCTTGGTTAGAAATAAACCTCTCTCTCCTGCCCTCTCGGCCCATGCTGTGCGCAGAACTGGCTGTTGAGATCATGGCCATCCAGGAGGTAAGCATGCTACCATGAAATGTGTCTGACTCCTTCATTTTACTCTTTCTCCTGTCTCTCTTATCCTATATGACTTCACTATAATATTTATATTTATTTTTTAACCATACAATTGCACTTACCGAACCCAGGATTAGTTGTGGGGGGCTGGCTTCCCCCCTAACACTTTAATATTTCCTCCCCTTACTCTTACATTCTTAGTTTTACCTCATTAATCTTATGAGACCTGCATATGTTCATTTGTGTAATTAAGATCATTCCATGCATGAAATCCAAGAAAGATAAACCCTTCAGAAGTAATAAAGGGAGTAAGGATTCCCTGAGGGTATGGGAAGGGAGGGGAGGAGAGTGAGAGAACTGATAGCAACTATGACTATATAATCCCAATTGAGGAGAACAAATAACAGACTGATAGGTAAACAGATACATTGGATGGTATAAGATATGGCAAAAATAAATATAATAATAATATTTAATAACAAGAGTTCCTGAGGGGTAAGTTGGGGAACGTGAGGGGATAAAGGAGAGCTGACATTAAAGAGTACAAAAAGAAAGAAACTGTCTTGAAAATGATGGTGGCAGCAATTGTTCAACTATGCTTGATCTAATTGAACTATGGATTGCTATAATATCTGTAAGAGCTCCCAATAAAATGTAAAAAAAAAAGAACAATAGACAAGATGGATCTACTACAAAGTCTGCAGATTAATTACTCTGTGCCTCCCAGCATGCCGTGTGCATACTAAAACCGTGGTTTCGAATTCACCTCCTAGAAATTAAGTATATATTCTTAGTTATCTTTCTATTACCTACAATAAAAGTTCTTCAAAAACAGACACATGACTCACTGGCTAATCGTTGTACTGCTACTGCCAAGGACTGTGTCTAAAAGGGCTTTTATTGAGCTCTTGGTTGATCGTGGGTGATAAAAAAATTAATGTGGGGCTACTATGGAGAGATGAGAGGGAAGCCAGAAGCAGTGTGGTAGGTAGGGTTAAGGTATGCGCTCAGAAATAGGTGACTAAAAAAAGAAAAGAAAAAGAAATAGGTTACTATGACTCCAGAGAGCAAAAAAGTGATGCATCCAAATTCCTGGGGATCAGGTCCTATTGACGTACAGACAACACCTCAATATACACAGAGAAACCCAAGAAAGCGGCACACTTACTGATTCGTAATATTTGTATTTGTTGACTCAAAATGCCTGGGTGAGCGAAATAATTTAGGAAGGAAAGTCCCAGGTTAATTACCTGGCACATATTTAAGAACACGGAAAAACCCCAAAGGGCACATATGTACATCACAAAAAAGTACTTAATGAAAGGGTTTATGTCTGATATATCCACGAAGGGACACTAAGAGGAAGAGGTTTATGGCAATAGGATTCTAGAGATTACAAGGGGCTCAAATTCCATCACCCCATTAAGACAGGAATGAGGAGCAGTGGCACCACTGCGTCCTAGGTCCCTGTGCAGCCCTGAGCGGCAAAGGCAGGGCCCAAGGACCAGGGGAGAGTAACTCCCAACACGAGGACGTCCCTCCAACCCAGGTGAACTAACTGCCTGGCCCTTGTGAGGAGGTGGGGGGGGGAGGGCGCGTAGCAGCAGTGCAGAGAGGGACAAGGGAAGAAAAGCAACTCAATCAGCCTAGACTCAACTCTGGAGGAACTAGGTACTTCCCGGCGGGCCTGTGTGCCTTGGGTAACACCAAGCCTATTACGATGCTTCTCTGTGCTTAACAGAACAAGGTCCTTAAATTCTGGAATCTGACCCTCCACAGGATCCTCACTAAAATCCAAACCTAAGAAAATCATCATATTATCATAGGGAACATCTGGGTCCCCTGTAAATGTTGAATAAAAGTTATCTGCAGTACATGCCTCAATTTGAAATGTATAACAATGCCAAGTTACTGGAGCTAACGAATCGTGAAGGGATTTTCTCTATTAGTTACTTGAAAGGTAAATCTGACTCCCACGCTTCCCGAGGTTTGCACAGCCTGGGATACCTAACATATTGTAGACATGTGGTGCTCTCCATATATACACATCCACACAGCAGTTATACTCACACACAGAAAATTATTGGCAGGGCAAAAAATGTAAAATATAAATGCTCCTCAATATTTGTATCACCTTCCTTTGGGAGAGAGTCCCACGGGCACAGTCAAGGAAGTCACAGTCAGGGTTTCAAAGCCCACAGCCACTCCGAGTAGGTTATCAGATCCCAGACACAGGGTGTGTATGGAAGGCAGTGGGCTTGGCTCGGTTCCTCTGGAAGGAGCAGGGTGATGAGATGGCTATACTCACTGCCTGGCGGCTCTCATCTCCCGAGTTTCTCTTACCCGTTCCTGCAGAAGTTCCACAACTTGCTGGACACAATCATTGACGTCGCAGGAGTCGGTTTTCAGCACCAGTTCAGGAGCCTCCGGTTTTTCATACTCAGAATCAATCCCAGTGAAACCTATACATGGCACCAGAGAACACGGTGGAGAGGATCCACATTAAAACGTCACAGGTTTGTTCCATCGGCACAAGTATCTACTGTCTTCACACGTCCCTCTGTACTGCTCTCTAGACAAAGGGTTACAGGGCTGAAAAGTCTTTCTTAGGAGATTGCTAAGTTAGCTATCGTGTCCTCTTTAAATGTCTTTCATTCTTTCCCTCCAGGAGAGGCTCACAGTCTGTGAATAAATAAGCATTCAACGTGAGATGATCTGTGTATCTCAAATTTCTCCACAGGAATAGACAGGACACTGAACCTAAACCCCGAGCATAAGGTTGAACTTGACCCTTTTTTGCCCATTCTCTCAATGCAAAACTTGAAAGGAAGTCCACCTGCCCTTCCATTCATAAAGAGTATCCACAAGGATTACCTATGGCCAAAATGAAGCTCTGGGGGCTTCTTTCTGCCACCAGATGGCAAGTGTTCAAGTAAAACAAGCACTATTAGTAGCTTAAGCAAAACAAAAAGACTGCAGTATCATAAAATACATTCTGCAAAGGTAATTAATTTAGATATTAACTAATATTTAGATTTTCCCTATTGGATCTGTGTTACCATGTAACTGCCAAGAAAAGACAGAACTTGGGATGTTTCCCGAGAGGAAATCGGCTCACTGACCTGCAGATACTGTCTTGACCCTACCTGTTCAGTAAGTAATCCATGGTCTGCCTGCTTTGCAACGCTCATGTCACTCCTGAGTTATACACTAGAATGAAACCAAAACCCAAACTTACTGCCATCGAGTTGATGCTGAGTCCGAACGACCCTGTAGGACAGGGGAGAACTGCACCTATGAGGGTCTGAGACTTTGACTCTTCACAGGAGTAGAAAGCCCCATCTCTCTGTCTCCGAGTGCCTGGTGGTTTTAAACTACTGATCTTGCAGTTAGTAGTCCAATGAGTAACCACTGTGCTACCAGGGCTCCTTAAATTAGAATAGTAAACATCAATTTAAAAATACTACTATCAAGAGGTCCAGTTAGTGCCCCTTTGCCAAGAGACCAGAAGAACTGGCTAGTATCCAGCTACCACTACTGGATATTTTGATCAAAGAT